GGAGCCCGTGGGTCTTAGGAAATGCCTCAGCCCCTGGGTTCACTGTTGAAGTTAGAATAGAGCACAGAAAGCCAATTTCTGGACCCAGTAGCCTCCTTAGTCTGTTCCCCTAGACATAAGCTAGATTCTACTGTCTTTTTCTAGGGCCAGGACTCCATCTTACAGGTGATCTGCCAATTGGCCTCAATTGTCTTTTGTTCTCAATATTCTATCATAAAATTTCCAAACAAGGTTCCTTCAGCTGACCTTTCACTGTATTGCTTTCTCATATATTGATTCTCTAACCATCCAGCAGCTCATATAATTTTTATGGTGTTTCCAAAGTAAGTTGTAGATATGGATACATTCCCCCAAATACTTCAATATTATTCACAAAAATTCACTATTTCTTTACAATGCCAATACTTCCTTACAATTTCTTTTCAGATGAAATTCATTTATGATGAAATGAAAAACATCACCAGCATACCATTTGATGAGTTCCTATAAATACATACACCTGTGCGATTCAAACCCCTATCAAGGTACAGAACATAATCATCACCCTAGAAATTTTCCCCAAGTCTATTCCCAGCAAACTCCTGGTTCAGCATTCTTAGAGGGAATGAATCTTATTTTTTTCACCATAGATCAATTTTGCTTATTCTAGTGCTTCATATAAATAGAATCATAAAATTGGTATTCCTTTGTGGAAATTTTTGTGCCATCAGGAGGTTTTTAGGATTCATGCCTCCATTTTGTCGCTTGTATCAGTAGTTTGTTTCTTTGCATGGATGGGTGGTTTTTTCCTGTATGGATAGGCCACAGTTTGTTTATTCAGTCTTCTGTTGATGGACACCTGATCTTCCAGTCCAGGGCTATGATGAATAAAGCTAATAGGAACCTTTCAGACACATCCTTTAGTGGACATGTGTTTTTGTAAGCCTTGGGTAGATACCGAGGAGTGGAATGGGTGGGTCTTAGTGGAGGTGTGTATTTAATTTATGAGAAACTATATAATTTATAAGAATTTACATCTTTTCCAATGTTCTCATTTTCCTCCCCTACCAACAATTTATAAGACTTTTAGTTGCTTCGCCAAATGTTCTGACAACATTTGGTGTTGTCAGCGTATCTTTGCTGGTGAATGTCTCATGGCGTCTCGCTGTGGTTCTAACTTGCATCACCTTGATGACTACAGCTGTTGAATTTTTTTTTTTTAACGTATTTATGGGCCATTCATTTACCATCTTTTGTGAAGTCTCTGTTCAGATCTTTTGGCCAGTTTTAAATTGAGTTGTTGGTCATCTTGGTATGGAGGTTTAGGAGTTCTTAATATATCCAGGATACCAATTTTTTGTCAGAGACATTTCTCAAGTATTTTCTCATGCCCTCTGGCCTGCATAAGAAAGACATTTTCTTAAGGATGCTTCTTCTGATGAACAGGGATTCCATTTTGACTGTATTTTTTTCTTCTTCAGTTTTTGTCTTCCCCCAAGGCATGAAGATGTTCTCCTATGTTTTCTTCTAGAAATTCTGTAGTTTTAGCCTTTATGTTTAGGCCCATGGTCCATTATAAATTGATTTTTGTGGGTGGTATGAGTTAGGGCCAGGTTGATTTGTTTCCATGTGAATATGGAGTTATGTCAATACCATTTGTTGAAAGCCTTTCCTTTCCCAATCAGGCTGCTTTGAAAATTTGGTCTATTTCTGTCTGGCCTCTTCATTCTGTCTTACCAATCTGTTGATCCTTGTGTCAGCACCATACTGTTTTAATGACCATAGCTTTAGGGTAAGACTTGAAGTCAAGTGGTGAAGTAACCTTGACTTCTTTTTTCAAGACGGCTTTGAAGTCTAAGTTCTGTGCATTTCTACAGAAATTTTAGCATCATTTTGTCAATTCTTTTTTTTTAAAGAATTTATTTTTTTATTTGACAGAGAGAGATCACAAGTAGGCAAAGAGGCAAGCAGAGAGAGAGGAGGAAGCAGGCTTCCTGCTGAGCAGAGAGCCCGATGCAGGACTCGATCCCAGGACCCTGACTGAGATCATGACCTGAGCTGAAGGCAGAGGCTTAACCCACTGAGCCACCCAGGTGCCCAATTCTTTTCTTTAAATCAATTTTTAAAAATGTTTAGTTATTTATTTCACAGAGAGAGAGAGCGCGAAAGAGGAAACACAAGCAGAGGGAGTGGGGGAGGGAGAAGCAGGCCTCCTGCTGCACTGGGAGCCTGACATGGGGGGCTCAATCCCAGGACCTTGGGATCATGACCTGAGCCAAAAGCAGATGCTTAATGACTGAGACTCTCAGGCACCCCTCAGTTTGTAAATTTTGACTAAATAGCATCATAGGATTAGGATTAGGATTAGGATTAGGATTGTGCTGAATCCATAGATCAGTTTGCTGATTACCATTTTAACAATGGTGAGTCTTCCAAAACCATGAGCTTGGCATATCTCCCCATTTATCTACATCGATTTTTTCACAGCATTGTTTTGTTCATTTTCTCTTTGTCATTAATTTTCACAGTTTGACTATGGTTCCCCTAAGTGTTTTTATTTTTGTTTTGTTGTGTTTTTTTTTAAATATAAATCTTTTTTGGAGTTTATTGGGGTTTTAAAGTCTGTAAATATATGTCTTTTACCAAATTTATGAACTTTTCAGGGCACCTGGGTGGCTCAGTGGGTTAAGCCTCTGCCTTCGGCCCAGGTCATGATCTCAAGGTCCTGGGATCAAGCCCCGAATCAGGCTTTCTGCTCAGTGGGGGGCCTGCTTCCCCCTCTCTTTCTGCCTGCCTTTCTGTCTGCTTGTGATCTCTCTCTCTGTCAAATAAATAAAAATCTTTAAAAAAAATTTTTATGAACTTTTCACCCATTATTTATTCAAATACTTTTGGGTCATTCTCTCTCTTTCTCCCCTAGTTCTAGGACTCCAATTACATGTACTTTAGACCTTTTGATAATGTTGCAAAGATCTATGAGTCTCTGTACATGTATTATTAAATCTCTTTTACTCAGTTTGGATCATTTTTGTTGATCTGTCTTCTAATTCCTTGACTTTTGCTTCTTTGAGCTCCCTGTGCTTTTAAAAATGTCCATTACATTTTTATTTAAAGATATTTATTTTCCAGTTCTTATACTTTCACTTGGTTCTTTTTTATAGTTTCTTTTTTTTATTATGTTCAATTAACCAACATATAATACATCATTAGTTTTTAATGTGGTGTTCAATGATTTATCAGCGACATATGACACCCTGTGCTCATTATCACATATGCCCTTTTCTATAGTTTCTATTCATCTGCTGGGATTTCTATACTTTCATTTATTATGAACATATTTTCCTTTATATACTTGAGCATAGTTGTAGTAACTTCCTTAAAGTTCTTGTCAATTAACTACATCACTCTAGGTCATCTCAGAGTTGGTCTCCACCAATTATCTTTCCTCTTTAATGAGTCATGTTTTCCTGTTTTGTTGTTTTTTGAATAATTTTGGAGTGTATCCTGGTCTTTATGAGTGATATGTTGCAGAAATTCTGGATTCTATTCTGCTTTTCTGAGGAGTATTGACTTTTTTTAAATTCAGGCTTTTAAAGTGGTTGAACTCAAATTGTAAGACCTTATCTCCCCATGTAACATCTAGAAGTTCAGGTCAGCTCTTTAAGCTAGAGCTGGGATTTTTAAAATCTGCCTCTTGCCTATGTGGTTCAAGGATCATCCAGAGATCAAAGTAGACTTTATCTATTGAGCTAGAGGGCCTCCCTTCTGCTCAGCATATTGATAGATACGGCCTTGTTCTTAAACTACAAGCTATAAGGCAGGAAACTCATCCCACGTCTACCTCTTCTTCCAGTAATTTAGTCTCCTCTGGTTTCTGTAGAGTTTTGTTCTCTCCTCAGTTCCTTCAACTGATTGTGCTTATATTTTGTCCAGAGTTTATAGTTACTATCTATAAGAAGTACAGTCCAATAGGAGCTACTTGGCCATACCAGAAGGCTTCAATTACCTTTTGAGTCTTTTTTTTTTTTAGTTTACCTTCAACATGATAATTCATAGCTCTTTCTTGGGATACAAAGTATGTTTCATCTCAAGCACCACCTCAGACTGGTAATGTTGAAAGGGATACTGAGCTTCAGCAGAAAAGCATGACGTAATCAACAAATAATGTCTGCCTCCGACATAGGAGGGGAAGCGGAACCCCAATCTTTGTAAGTTCTAATATAGTTATTTACAAAACAATGCATGACACTTAGCAGTTTGCGTCTACTAGGACATCTCCCTGAAGTCAGTGTACTGTATTTGTTTGTCTGAGGGTTAACCTTCTTCTAGGTGTAAACTTTATGAGAACAAGAATTGTGTTTGTGAAAGTCACTCCCCCATGCCCAGCATTTGTCATGTGAGATGACAGGCTCTCCATAAATATTTGGTGAGTGACTGAGAACCCAGCTGAATGTTTGTTTTGGTTTTACTTTTCAAAATTATACAATCAATGTGAAGAAGCAAATAGAGAACACGGGTTAGCAGAAATAAGATAAATCAAATCACCTCACTTTCCCCCCTAGACATAATCATTATTACAATATTTTTTCCCACCTAGCTTTTTGTTACCCTTCAAATTTTTATTCTCAACCTTGGGTGCATATTAGAATTATCTGAGAAGATTTGAAAAGTCATTCATGCCACACCCCAAGCCAATTTATTCACATTCTCAGGGACTGACTTTGGCCTAAGTATTTTTTTTTTTTAATTCCAGAGATGATGCCAATGTGCCGTGAAAAGACCTAAAGATGTCCCAGCCAGCTCTACCAGAGGTCTTTCAGATGTTATTTTCTGTCTCCTAGATGACAAAGTCTTTGCCTTCCAGGAGAATTCAGAGAAGGCAGGACTTGAAGTCACTCAACACGAAACAATTAGAAATCCAAAAGACAACAAACGTACCTAATCAAGAGCCTAGCTTCAGAGAAACTGAGGCCAAGTGTGCCAGGAGCATCACACCTGAGAGCAGCCAGAGGTGGACTCACCTGTACTTCTTCCCCCTTGGCAGAGCCCTGCCAGTTACGCTGAGGGAGCCTTCTCCTTCTAAAAAGGTTTGGAGAAAGGGGCACGGTGACATGTTAGAATCATAGGGGACGCTGATTACACCCCTCCCTTCTTTGAAAACTTCTGGTTTGTAGGCTCCTAGGTCCCCAGGCTCCTGGCCTCTGCCCTCTCTTTTGGGAATGCTATTTTAATTCTTTACCTGACTTTAGAATTCAAGAAGACCGCCTTCAACCAGAAGCTCTTCTATAGTCATGTTCCTCCCTATCTGGTGAGCTGGGCATTAACATCTCTTACCACTCTGTTTCTCTAGCTGCCCGAGGAGAACTGGAGCACAGAGCCTAGTTTTTGACCTAAGCTGCACACAGAAGTTCCCAGGAGATTGTGAAGTACCTATTCTTGGGCCCCACCCAAGAACAATCAACACAGAATCTCTAGGTGCCCTAGCCCTGGTATGTTTGTCAAGGCTTCCCCGGAAATTGGGACATAACTGAGGGTGGCAAATATCAGGGAAGCAGCTTGGGGGCTCCCGTGGGTTGTGAGTGGGTTTGAAATCTTCCTTCCTACTACTCTGGAGGCAGCTTAGAGGAAAGTACCAGAAACTTACATTAAACAGGCTAGGGTTTGACTCCCTGCTTTGCCATTTACTAGCTATGTGACGCACACTAAGTCACTGAACGTGTCAGACATGGAGTTTAGTTAACCGGTAAAAGAGGTGAAACGGTAGAGCCTACCGGTGAGGTTCCAGGAGACTCCGTATACAAAGTATGTTTACCTAATAAACATCAGCTCCCTTCCCTCCCTGCACCCCTCACCATCACCCTACCTGAGCATTGCAATAGGAGCCACGGGCAAGCTCTGGCTTGGTGTGGTGCTGTCTCTCCTTGATCTGACCGTGACCATGACGTCAGTCTGGATTTGCAGCCCTGGTCCCTGGGTCTGGCCTTCTGATCCCAGCTTCTGAACTTGATCCGGCTCTTCTTTCCTGCCTTGCAGGTTCCGGGCCCAGTTTCCATCACCTGTTTCTGTTGCTCAGCAATAAGCCCCAAAGGGATGGTTTCTAAAAGTAACTGGCCCCATGTTGCTCCAGCTGAGTTTTAGCACCGGGAGGGGGTGGGGCTAATTTTAGACTTGTCCTGGATTAACATCTGAGAAGAGGCGAGGCCAGGCAAATCCAACCTGGCCCTGAGTTTCTGGGTTGGAGTTTACGAGAAAGGTTGGGGAGATGTTGCCACAGGCTTTGTGTACCGGTATCATGCTGGGCACCTTATTTGGAAGCATCTTAAACCAGTTGCCTCAAAATCTGCTTGAATTTGTGCTTCGGGTGCTGTGCTGAGGAGAGTAACCACAATATAAACCAGGATTTTTGAATATGCTAATATTTGTACCAAGCCAGGATGGATTATTAGCTAGGTTTACCTCAGGGACAGGCTCTGACAGGTGTGAGCAGGGCCCCGGGCCTGAGACCCTGCAGGAAAGAGGCTCATGAGAAAATAGAAAAGGTTATGGCTGTATTTGCGTTTTAGAGGAGCTGAGGGAGAAATGAGATGGAGTGGTGCAGTGATGTCCTGGCTGAGAGAAGCAAGGATGGCATGGAAGCTTCCAGAGCAGGCCTGGCCCAGAGTAGACGATTAATGACCGCTTGCAGCCTGAGTGTGGAATGAGAGGCTTCTAAGGTCGGGAAGAGATGCTCTGAGGCGGCTTCATGAGTGTCTTGTGCTTCAGAAGGAAGGGCAACTAAGTCTGGGTGCACAAGGGCTGTGCCGGGGACCCACAGCATCTGGAGGGATTGGTATCCTCTAGGTCAAGGAAAAGCAGGAGCGAAATGAACTCTTCTATAATCAGGACTATAGACTAGCAACAAAGAAGGGTTGAAACAACACTCCCCTCCCCATTAAGAGATAACCACCATTCCACCACTTAATGCTGCATGATCTCATGCAAGTTACTGCATTACTTGGAGCCCATTTCCCCACCTGTTTATTTAACACTCACCAGCAATTTATTGAGCACCTACTACATGTGCCAGCCACTGGGATACTTTAGTGAACAGACAAGCTTCTTGCTTTTAACAATTTGGTGGAGAGGCAGACTAGAGAAAAGGACGGTCATGAAGACAGGTGGTGTTATGGGCTATGAAGGACACCACAGGACGACGTCGTGGAGAATATTCTGGATAGGGAAAGCTTCTGTGAGGAGGTGTCATTGGAACTAAGCCCTGAACAGTGAGAGGGAGCCAAGTCTGAAGAACATTCTAGGCAGAGGGAACAGCAAGGGCAAAGAGCCCCAAACAGCAAAGAACTTGATCAGTATGAAGAATAGAAAGGAGGCCAGTGTGGATGGCGACAGTGAACTGAGGAAGGGGACTGAGGGAAGGTGAGAGAGGGGGACCGGGACACGCAAGGCCTACAGGGAAAATGATTCCCATCTCTTGGCATTGAGGCCAAGCAGGAAGAAGATGGAACCGTGGGTCAGACTCTGAGGGCAGAGGAGGTGAAGTGTCTGTGATGGGGGAGCCCTTGGGACCCAGATCCTTAGAAATGCATCCGGAAGCCAACTGGGGCCAGATAGGTTGGAGCCCTTATAAGAGAAAAAAAAAAAAAAAAAAAAAAAAAAAACACTTTAAATCTGTCTAGGACACAACCTTTTTGACTAATGTAATTCCAAATCACTTCTGGGAGGAAGTGAGCATTCCTGAAAAAATGATTAACCAATCCATTTTCTTACTAACTTAAAAGAGATTAAGCTTTGTTCTGTGAATCTAATCCCCCGAACCTGTGATCTGCCATCACTCAATTGTCTTAGTGTTTAGTCAATTGTTTAAACAAACGGATCTCTTTCCTTCCTGTGTCTTAGACTAGTAATGAACTAGCTGATCTCTTTTCCTATCAGATGTCCCTACCAGAAGTGAATCTTTGACTTAACCTACTGGAGACCTTTTCACTTGTAGCAAGATTGTAATAAAACACCGAACTGCGTGGAGCACCTGGGGGGCTCAGTCGGTGAAGCATCTGACTCTTGATTTTGTCTCAGGTCATGATCTCAGGGTCCTGGAATCAAGCTCCACATTGGGCTCTGTGATCAGCCAGGAGTCTGCTGGAGATTCTTTCTCTCTCTCTCCCTCTGCCCCTCCCCAGCTCACGTGCTCTCTTTAAAAAAAAAAAAAAAAAAAGCTGAAACAAACAAAACATTGACCTGTGCCTTCAACTGAATTTCCCCACCTATAACCCCACAGAGTGGGTAGCCAGTAGGCATGAGAACCTTCCTCATTTTCTGTGAACGGGTCCACAGCTGTGCGCTTGTTGTCTCCAGAGGCACATGGCCCTAGCCATGGGCCTTCTGCCCAAATCCTGTTCCGACAGTCCTCACAAGTTGATGAGGAGTGAGAGGAAGGCTGCATGGGTTGACTGGTGTCTATGGTCCACCAAAAGCTATGCTGAAGTCCGGCCCCCTAGTGCCTCATAACGCAATGTTATTTGGAGGTAGATTCTTTCCAGGCATAATAAGTAAAAATGAGGTCGGTAGAGTGGGTCCTAATCCAGCATGACTAGCATCCTTACAAAAAGGGGGAAATCAAAGGCAAACCTACACCCAGGGAGGATTCCCCATGAAGATGAAGGCAGTGATGAGGGTGATGTTTCTACAAGCTAAGGAATGCCGAAGATTCCCAGCACATCAGCAGAAGCTAGAGAAGCATGGAACGGTCTTCCCACAATCTTCAGAAGGAACCAATGTCGCCAATGCCTTGGTCTTGCACTTCTAGCCTCTGGAACAGAGAACACATTTCCATGGTTTAAGCCACCCAGTTTGTTGTCCTTTGTTACAGCAGCCCTAGCAAACTAATACAAAGGTTTTATTTTTATTTTTTTATTTATTTTTAAAGATTTTATTTATTTATTTGACAGAGAGAGATCACAAGTAGGCAGAGCAGCAGGCAGTGAGAGAGGGGGAAGCAGACTCCCTGCTGAGCAGAGAGCCCGATGTGGGGCTTGATCCCAGGACCCCGAGACCATGACCTGAGCAAAAGGCAGAGGCCCAACCCCCTGAGCCAACCAGGCACCCCAATACAAGGGTTTTAAAGGGAACATTACCAAGCCTCCTTCAGCATCCCCAGCATGGGGCAGCCCAGAATCTTCTACTACCTGGTCCCCGCCTCCCCCCACATTGCTGGCTCTTTCCCCCTGCTTCCCGTATCCCATCTCCCTGTCTCCCTCATTCTCCCCACCACCTCCCTCCAAGAAAAGCAAATGTGTCTTCTTGTAGGATATGTAAGGGTCTCACTCCCATCTGAAACTACTCATCAAATTTTTTAAAGTAAACTTTTACAAATCGTAACATAGATCCCCAGATCTTCAGGAAAAACTCAAGGAAGCCTGGCTTCCTGCTGAGGCTTCCTTCCCCTCCCTCCCTGTCACAGTAGGTCCTAGACACTCAGCATGTCCCTGGTGCTTGTCAGCGCTGCCACTTCCCAACCTTGAGTTCTCCTTTCATCCAGAGAGGCCCTTTTAATTTTAATCACCCAAGGAAAACAGGCTGAAGGCATATATATATATATATATATATATATATATATATATAAAGAGAGAGAAATGTAGGGGATTCACAAAGATGAAGGTATCTTTTGGTTGTTTTTTTCCAGCTCCTAACTCCATTTGACATGAGAACAGAAAGTGTCTCTGGATTTTTGTCTTCTCCTCTTATTCCTGAGGGTGGCTCACACCTCCCAGACTTCTAAAAAGGCATTTGACCCTTCTCCCATAAAGATTCTTTTCCCCAGCACAGGGCCCATGAAGCAATTAGAGCAGAAAAATGGGTGCCCCATGGGTTGAGTTAAATTTGACACAGAGATAGACCTTGAGAGTTAGCATGTAATGTGAAAATTGCATAGAATTCAAAATAGCATAGAAAATCTCTTAGAAAGGTATCATCTTGAAGACTGAGATACTGTTTTCCAATAAGCCAAACACAGTAGTTGCAACCTGGACCACTGTTTCTTCAGCTAAGGCTGTCAGCTTCTGGTGGCCATGTTGCACACACACTGCCTGTTGTTATTCTAGGATCCCATTCAGTGGCAAATAGGTCTCCCTGAAGCTGACCAAGGGAACATGAGGGGCTCTTAATAAATCCTTGAAGTTGGGGGTAGAGGGTAGGTGAAGCCAGAGGGGGCTTCCTGGAGGAAGTGGCACATCGGCTGAATCTAAAGGACCAGTAAGATTTTTCCAGATGAAGAAGATGAAAGGTATTAAAAGCCGAGGGAAAAACAGGTGTAGAGAGAGAGAGAGAGAGCATGGCTTGTCTAGCAGAGAGAAAATAATTCTGTTTGATGATCATGTATTACTTCAGGAGAATCAAGAGGGAAAGCTCAAGAAACTGGCAGAAACCAGACCCTAAAAAGCCTCTTATCCCAGAAGTTAAGGAGGTCCTCAAGCCATGCTCAGCAATTTCAACAAGTTTACTTGAGGTAGATCATTTACCTAGGGCAGTGCTGCCCAGGACCGCATCATTTCATTCCCCCTAGGAATTCTGCTTATCCTCCTACCTTGAGCTCTCGTTGTCAAAGGCATGTGCCTTTGATGAATAAGCTAACCATCAAGGAGGCTAATCTTGCAATACAGGTGGCACAGTAATGGCTTGAATCGTTCTGAAGTCTTACAAAGGGAACAGACAGGAAAGATTTTGGGAGCTAGAGTGGCCTCAGTAGATCAGGAAGAGGAGGAGGAGTCAAGGTCACCACCTAGGATTCTAGCTTGCGTGATTGGACGAATTTTCTTTTGATGAATCTTAGTAGTCTTGGCCCGATTTCATCTCCTTTCTAGAATGCAAGCATCAAGGAACTTAGAACCCCAAGTATTTGTGGAACACCAGCTACTTCCCAGATACCTCCAACCTCTCATTCATTCTTC